TATAAAAGCCTCTTAGAGCACTTAACATAAGGTGGTTGTTCATAACTTTCAGTAATGAATGGCTCGTACAGCTCTTAGTAATAAATGGTAATAAATGAAGGACCCCTGTGTGTTCAAGCTGTGTGAAGCAAAAAATAGTAGAACGAGGTATGTGGAAGCTTGAATCAAAAGACAGGACCATGAGATATGAACGTTTCGGCCAAGAGCCTTCCTCAGCAGACAGGGGGAAAAAAAAAGAAGAAACAACAAGAATTAGAAAACAGTTTAAAACTCTAGTGTTTGGCGTTCCCCGTGATATGTTTTGCTATTGCCGGAAGTTGGGTTTTCCAAAACCAAAAAAAACAACCCAAATAAAAAATGTTTATTGGGAAAAAATTACAGGAAGTAAAATAATGTATGTAGCGTTGCTGTCAAAGATACGATTTGAACAGACCGAACTGTTTTGGAAAGATGTAAGTTACAAGAAATAAGAAAAGAAATACGGGGAAATTTAAGATCACGAGGATAGAGAGCTATAAGAACAGACCTCCCTTCGTGGTGAGATACAACAAAGACAAACAAACAAACAAACAAAACATCTCGTCCAAAATAGCAACAGCGTGTGTGTGTGTGTGAGTGCTATGAATCAGTACTTGAACAAATAATTAGCCTTCCCATTAGCAATAAAAGTCAAAGTCATTGCGTCTAAATCAGACTGAAGAGTTTGGTCAACTTGTACATGGTTAGCCATGGTCGTTTCTATCTCTGTGGTAGTCGGGCACCTACCTGGGCGTCTGCCCCTCCAAACATTTGATACCTAGAGCACGGAGTCAGTAATGTGTGTAATGTTATTTTGAAAGTATTCAAATGGAAGTGTTCTTTTGGAACTGTTCTGTTGGACGTGAAGTTGTTCTATCGTTAGTATTCTATTGTCATGTTCTACTAGAAGTGTTGCACTACTTTTGTGTGTGTGTGTGTGTTTGTGTGAACATGTTCTATTGTCATGTTCTACTAGAAGTGTTGCACTACTTTTGGGTGTGTGTGTGTTTGTGTGAAAATGTTCTATTGTCAAGTCCTGCTAAAAGCGTTATATTACTTATAATTGTAAGTGCTCTAATGTGTTTATTGTAATTGTTCTAATGTGTTTATTGTAAGGATTCTAATGTGTTTATCGTAAGTGATCTAATGTGCTTTTGTAAGGGTTATATTGCAATTGGTATGTGTAACGAATCTATTGTAAGTGTTTATAAAACAATGTGACGAAAAAAAATCCGGTTATTCAGTTCTGTTAATCTGCCTCTTGTACCTGTACGTACGCATTAGTCCATTCACCCAGTCCCTTAGTCCACCGCCCCCCCCCCCCCAATTGCATTAGTCCAATCCACCATTGCATTAGTCCAATCACCCATTGCATTAGTCCAATCACCCAGTCCATTAGTCCAACCCCCCCTAGCATTAGTCCAATCACCCAGTCCATTAGTCCAACCCCCCCTAGCATTAGTCCAATCGCTCAATTTGTTATTATAAATTTCAAATAAAAGTGACGGGGATATTTACTAGTATTTTATTGTGTTCGGGGGCTTGTCCCTCTATTTGTAAACTTCCGAGTGCACCACAAAGTTTAAACGACTCATTGAGAGCTCCATGTGTCAAATGTATTGATCGTAAGGTGAGCCACTGGGGGTGGCCCGGGCAACTACACGTTGGACGGGGCATTAACCTCAACGTGGTCCCAGGGAAACATCGAGATCTCAACTTAGTCCAGAGGTAAGATAACTGACATTTCTATGACGTTTCAATGGGACAGTTTAAGATAGAGATCGAATAGAGACGGCTTATCTGATAGCGGGAGGTAATTCAATAAAGGGGGAAAACCCCCAGAACCAGGCGGGTGTAACGTAAAATGACGTGTGTTATTTCGTTGGATTGTTTTGGATGTCTGTGTAGTGAAGTTGAAGCAGACTTTAGAAGTTAGTCCATGCGGAATATAGCAATTTTGTTAAAAAACAGATTTCAGAAGTGCGCCCATGTTATAGCAAATTAGTTTTATATTTCAGAAGTAAGCAATGTTATTGCAATATATTAATAAGACACGAACAAATTAAAGCTAACTCATATTGTTCTATTGACACAATTTGTTCGTGTCTTATTAATATATTTTAAAGCTTTATTGCAGTCCAACACTTTTTATAATGTTATTGCAAACAAGTTTTATATTTCAGAAGTAAGCCATGTTATTGCAAATTAGTTATAGATATAGAAGTAAGCCATGTTATAGGAAATTAGTTATATATTTTAGAAGTAAGCCATGTTATAGCAAATTAGTTATATATATGGAAGTAAGCCATGTTATATGGAATTAGTTATATATTTTAGAAGTAAGCCATGTTATAGCAAATTAGTTATAGATATAGAAGTAAGCCATGTTATAGGAAATTAGTTATATATTTTAGAAGTAAGCCATGTTATAGCAAATTAGTTATAGATATGGAAGTAAGCCATATTATAGGAAATTAGTTATATATTTTAGAAGTAAGCCATGTTATAGCAAATTAGTTATAGATATAGAAGTAAGCCATGTTATAGGAAATTAGTTATATATTTTAGAAGTAAGCCCATGTGATAGAAAATTAGTTATTAGCTTTCAGAAGTAAGGCATGTTATTGCAATTTATTGATAGATTTCAGAAGTTAGCCATGTTATAGAAAATTAGTTATATATTTCAGAAGTTAGTGATGTTATAGGAAATTAGTTATATATTTCAGAAGTAATCCATGTTATGCAAACAAGTTTTATATTTCAGAAGTAAGCCATGTTTGTGCAAATTAGTTATAGATTTCAGAAGTAAGCCCATCTTATAGAAAATTAGTTATAGATTTCAGAAGTAAGCCCATCTTATAGAAAATTAGTTATAGATTTCAGAAGCGTTTCTCTATTGATTTAACTATTTTTAAAAAGAAAACAAATTATGGAATTGTTCAACTAGCGAATGCTAGTCTCTGCAATGTTAGCCCTACACAAACACGAGACTGAAAGTAAGATAAAATCTGGGACAGCATTTAGGTACCAGATTACTTAATAACGTGCCTGTTCCATTGAATAGAATAATTAGATCATATTGTGATAGGTGATTCAAAAAAAAAAAAATAGGTGGGACGAGAGAATGGCAATTTTTCTAATCGGGAAGGACAGAACATCTTTCTGAATGCTAATCGGATACATAGGTAGAATCAACTGAGACCCAACATTGTATAGATAAGGGAAGAGGTTTAGGTTGCTATGTTGAAGAGGTGGCCTTCTGATTCTTGGATATAATAAATTGTGAAATAAATGTGAGGATGAAAGCAAATATATTTACTCAATACAGAAGTGAAAACATATCTATATATCTTCTGTACTGTGGATCAGTGGTTCTCAACCTGTGGGTCGCGAACCCCCCCCCCCTTTCCGCGCCCCATTTGGGGTCGAACGACTCTTACACAGGAGTCGTAGTAGACCATCGGAAACATAAATAATATATTTATGAAGAAGCAACGAAATAATTTTTATGTTTGAAGGGTCACCACAACATGAGGAGCTGTGTTAAAGGGTCGCGGCATTAGGAAGGTTGAGAACCACTGCTGTAGAGAATATTATTAATGTATTACCCACAACAGACAGAGTGAAGAGCTACATTGGTGTCAGAGAGTGGTCGCCACTTTCGTTGGCGATGAAGCTTTATCATTGTTACAACGGAATTTTAAAACATCATTAATCATTAAAGTATTTGTATGGGTGAGTACCTCGTCGGGTGTTTATTACGTCATAGTATTAGACGAAATGAATTGGGGGGGGGGGGAATAATTTGGTGTTAACATAAGTTGAAAAGCATCGTTGTAGCAAACTCTACTGAATACAAGTTCGTTTGTAGTTGAATTAAAAATGAACCCAACATTTACTAATACAACCATATAACGGTGGTCTTTAAAAATAATGTATATTTATATGATGAGCATACCAAACCCGATGTAACCGTTTGTAAATAAGGTCATAATCTAAATTTCACATTTTGCAGTTTCAGCTCAAGCCTGAAGCTTCATCGCGACTTCAAGTGTCTCACTTACTTGTGTCTGGAAGATTTAACGTCATCTAAACATGGGCTTACAAAGTGAAATAAAGAAAACCGAGGGGAAAGGACTTGCAGTGTGTTCAAACCTAAGCAATGACGTTACAATGTAACCTCCCACCCCCACGGCTCCACCGCTGCCACATGCTGCTCTTTGGGAGGGGGGGGGAATAGGAAATGAGTAAAAACAAAGTGGGGCCAAACCTGAAAAAAAAAAGAATGCAACAAAACAACGAACGTGTCGGCAGGAAGCTTGGACAAACAACAGGGGAAAAAAAACAGAATAAAAAATAAAACTTTAAAAACTAGCACTTTGCTGAGATGTGGCATCCTAGAGAGCAGCAAAACAATTGGGGGAACAGATGCGGCTGTTTTTAATGAATACTCAATACTGACTTTTAATTACTCCGTGTCCGACTGCGCCCAAATATATTGACCAGGCAGATTGCGCCTATATGTATATTTTTAACCAGGTATAATTTATAAAATGGCTACTCCCTCAAAAAAAAAAAAGAAAGGTCGTTGAACACAGACCGAAGGAATTTAATAAATATGTAATAGAAATGTAAGAGATCGCACTGCAAGAAACCGATTCGATTATCTTACAGTTATTATTGCTGTTATTGATTGTACAACAATCCGCTTTTTATCGCAATCGTCTCAAAAAACGATATTCTTCTTTATAAAAAATATAAATGTCCACTTTTTAGCCAGACTTCAATTGTCTAACTGACGCGTAGATCCCTAACTCTAGCCCACTTAGACCCTGGGCTACAGCAAATGTCCAGTCCATACATTGTGTGCAAAGCATCGTAAAATGTGTTAAGTGTGTATGTTCACCCCCATGGATCACGCCACGTCGAGTGTCACGGGAAGCGAGGTCACGTCAAATGTCACGTCCAGTGTACTGCTCGTCAGCGACCTAAACGTCCAGTCCGTGGTCCTGGCGATGACGTCACTGCTCATGTCCCTGTTCATCACGTTCGTCAACATCCTCACGATAGTCGTCATCAGGCGGACGCCCTTCCTCCGGACGCTGTCCAACATGTACGTTACCTCGCTGGCCGCGTCCGACCTGGTTGTGGGCCTCGGCCTGATCCCGCTGTCCCTCTTCTACATCCCTTCCTTGCGGGACAGGCTCTTCGACCGCAACATCCACTTCTGCGCGTTTATCTTCGGCCTCAACCTCGGCGTGTCCATCGTGTCCAGCATCACCATGACGCTCATCGCCACCGACCGCTACATCTACATCCTGCGACCGTACGCCTACAAGCGGGTGGTCACCAGGCGGTACGTCCTCGTCCTCGTCTGCCTGACGTGGGTGTTCGGCGTGCTCTACGGGCTGCTGCCCCAGCTGATCCACAACGATGCCGCTGGCGTGCCCAAATGCGACATCACGCTGGTCATGCCCGTGGGGTATCTCTTCTACACCAACCTGACCATCTACTCCATCCTCATCGTCTTAGACTTCGTGCTGTACACGCAGATTCTGTACACGGCTTACCGCCAGCGGAGGATCATTGACGCGGCGGCGCCGGTGGTCAGTGAGCCGCCGTCTCGGGTGGCGGCAACTCGGACGTCTCAGTGTCTCGCTTCAGATACATCGCAGTCGTGTGACCATAGTGCGCCCAAAGCAGCGCACACGAGTGACCCCAGTTTTGTACGTAGTCACGACAAGGTCTCGAGCACACGTAGCGTCACACCAAGTGTTACCACTGCACTGAGAACCTTCTGTCAAACTCAGGCTGATGTTTTGACAATCGCGATCATGGAAGCCTCTGAAATTGAAGCGCGAAAAATCGGACACCCGGATAAAATGAATGGTGGGGAAAATTCTGTGATCGCCGCGGCGCCCCGGGATATAATACACGGTGCTAAAAGGTCTGTAATTACCCCGGCGCCCCAGGATAAAATAAATGGTGTGAAAAGTTCTGTAATTACTCCGGCGCCCCAGGATAAAATAAATGGTGTGAAAGGTTCTTTAATTACCCCGGCGCCCCAGGATAAAATAAATAGTGTTAAAAGTTCTGCAATCACCTCGGCGCCCCAGGATAAAATAAATAGTGTTAAAAGTTCTGCAATCACCCCGGCGCCCCAGGATAAAATAAATAGTGTTAAAAGTTCTGTAATCACATCGGCGCCCCGGAAGAAGGGAAACCTGCGACTGAAGAGCATTAAATTCTTCCTGACAGTATTCGGGGTGTACTTCATGTGCCTGACGCCCACGGTGGTGTGCATGGGCGTCGACTACTACAGCCCCGTCCCCAGGTTCCTGTACAACACGTTCAACTTACTCGCCCTGATGAACTCTGGGATTAACTTCGTCATCTACATTCTCCTCAACGTCAAGTTCAAGGTCTCCGTCATGAGATTTCTGGGAATCTCTAAATCCACGACATTCCAAGACATCACCGACATGTCCAACTGGGATATGTAACGACATTAGTGACATGTCCAACTGGGATATGTCACGACATTGGTGACATGTCCAACTGAGATTTGTAACGACATTCGTGACATGTCAAAGTGGCCTATTTAATGTCAATTACAAGGTGATATTCGATGACATTTCCTCTATTATACCAAGGGGGATATTTGAGAGGATTAATACGATTTCAAAGCGGAATGTTTGATATTCACAACTGCAACAAGTGCTATGCAAACCATTAGTAAAGATTGTGCTAGTCACAGAGCTAGTGACAGCCTGAGGATGCCATAAACATGTCGGGTTGCCTGAGATAGTAGCAGGTGTAAGCCTAGCCTTCTATATAAAATGGCAAATAACATTGCTTATTTTTTATTTTTTTTTAGATACTAGCTGTCTATTTACAGAGCGTATTTTAGCTCTGAAATAGGCAGTACTAAGAATATTGAAAATTTTACAATTTAATTGTATGTTGTTGGGGTTTTTTTTTTTTGTTGGTACAGTTCTCATTATTTATATTGCACACAACATTGAATTCAAAACTTGTTACAATCTTAGTGAACGAGATTTATGCATAGTGTAGCTAGAGAGTAATGACAACATTTTTGTAAAAACTTTCTTTTCATGACTGCCCACCGACATATTCTATCATAATTGTGTATGTTCAACATTCCCATTGTCCTTCCATTTCTTCTACAACGTTAACATGACATATTGCTATGTACTGTCTGGTCGAGATATTGCTATATACTGTCTGGTTAAAGTCATTGGTTAGTTTAGGAAAAGGTGGGGGGCTGGGGGTCGGAGTTATTTTATAGCATGACAAGTAGTCTTGTCTGAGCGTCTTGTAGGCCACCTCAGCAGCTATGTTCCAGAAGATCTTGGTCAGGGGTACGGGTCACCAGCGGTGGGTCAGTACACGTGGGTCAGTACCCGTGGGTCAAGCGATGTCAGTCAGTGAATTTGGATTTATAATAATTGTGGGTCACTAGGTGTTGCTCTGTGGGTGTTGGGTCTTAAAACGGGGGCAGTGATTATTTCAGAAATTTTCCCCCGGGGGTGGGGGGGCACTTCAGATTTTTTTCGGGGGGGGGGGTGTGGGGGGGG